CCCTCAGGCCTTTTGAAACTCATATTTCTCTAACATCAAGGAAAAGTGGAAATGATTTTTTAATGGACCGTTCGCTATATTTCTCAACAAACACTTCAACTGTACATAAAAATCCGTCTGTCACATTGGAATATTTGCGACTAACTAAAAATAAAACTCAAGGATGTAGTGACGCAAGGAATTATGAGAGAAAACAAGAAATAAAACTGGTTAAAAAATAGAGAAATATTCAGAATTGAAGCTTTCCCCGGGTTTTGCCTGCAAACTTCATCATTAAATCAAGAAACAGTACTAGGTTATAATCTACTCACAGTCGAATTTCACTTCCCCCCGGCCCTTTGAAGCTCAACTCATTTTTCATGTACATAGAGAAGAGGTCGACAGGATTTTTTAACGAACCCTTCACAATATTTTTCCATAAATAAACCAACCAAATTCTCAAATCCTTCCATCACGTGCGAATATTTCTTCACAATACAAATGAAGATGACAGAATTAGTGATACAAAAACTGAAAAGCTGAAAGAAGAATAAAAAATATTTGAAAAACAAAAAAATCTCGAGAATTGAAGGTATTCCGACTTTCTCCAGTCACCCTCATCATTAAATCCCGATATAAAACCAGAATATAATCTGCCTTTACTGTTGTAATAAATCCGTCCAGCGATTTTCATGTTTAAATTTGACCCCCTTCAATCCCTCTGAAGCTCAACTCAATTTTCATGTTGACAAAAAAATGTCGAAAAGATTTTTTAACGCACCCTTATCTCCGAATACGCTAACCAAACAAAAAAATCTGCCCCCCTATATTTATCCTCATGAATATTAGAGTATTCCGAAGCATAGAAATTCTCTTTCATCTTCCGTTTTAACATAATGAATGAAGCCAACGTGAATGCCGTTGATGCCATTAAGGCCATGTAGATCATACGTAGTCCATGTTTATTACGATCAACTCGTCTGCGTCCAGACTGACGTTGAAAGGGGTTCACAGGCGGCCGAGAGGGAGGTAAAACTTACTCGTGTGACTCTAAACCACCGCGCTAACTACTAATGGAAAAGCCAGCGACGCGACACTATCATATTCGCTGAGCGTGACCATTGTCTTTTGTCCCACGTCCCCCCAAAACTATGCAGACTTGACCTCCCCCTTCGCCTAGCCAACCTCATCCTCACCTCTCTCTTCGCCTTTGCAAGTTGTCCAGCAATAAATATGTTATTAAAATTACCATAACACGGCCAGCAGTAAAACGCTACATTTTGCAGTTAATTTTACCCGTTATCTTGGTAATAATCTCGTTTACGCCTGGTGCAGTTAACCCTTTTGGATAGGAAGCTAGGAGGGTAAGGAGATATGGGAGCAGTTGGGGTATTCTCTATGGCTTGGTAGTTACCAGCGGCCACGGGCAGGGGCCGGAGGGGGGAAGGGAGCTGTACTCCTATGGCACCCGGATCTCCACCCACCTACCAGTGTCATAGACCATGGTGCATTAATATAAGCGGCTTACACGGTGAAAATACACCAAGAGGTATTATACACTGTCGTAGCATGAGGCCACCGGTACAGGCGACATCATCCCTCGCACCACTTTTGTGTCCTTCCCACCTTGATTCCTTCGGAGCATGACGAAGGCTCCCGCCCGCCCCCTCCTGTCGCACCGAATTGATGCCATGAGACAGAGACAATACATACCTGAGCCACTGCAATTATTCAATCGCCGTTGAATTCATTTCCCAGCAGCGCGGAAATTAAACGCTCAATATTACTCACAACTCGCTCAATATTACTCAATATCACTCACAACGCGTTGCAGCCCACCGGTCTGCTTCTATCAATATCTCCATGAGTTATCTCCCTCAGTTTTGTCCCTCCGCTCCCCCATGACGGTGGAAATAATCCACAACGGCTTTTAAATCACCAGTAACGAGTTGTCATTCCCCAACAAATAGGTATATTGCTAACGGTTGTGTCAAAGCATCCAATAAAGAAATTCCGAGTTATAACCGCCATAGACTGCTAACCGTCTTGCCTCGTTATCGCATTCGATTGGTGTAGAGTATATACCTATATACCGAAGCCAGGATTGATGAATCGCCAATTCCCTCTCTTGCGCCTTCTTTCGTTGAGTTTCTTTTTTACCTCTTAGTTTCTCAATTCATCTCATCTCTCTTTCTCTATCTACCACATTTTCCTCTACCCCTCCGCCCACCGATTGAAGGGACTTTTCTGGAGACCCTGATGTTGGCCAAATCCAAAGCGATTTCATCCTATCCTTATAGGTACCACCGCAAAGATTCGCCTCATCGGCTCCTTCCGCTTATCCCGTTTGGATCGTTGAATTTTTCAGGTAAGCGGCAACTGCACTGAGATTTTATACCGCTGACACGCCGCCTTTTTTATCATCCTTATTTCTCCTTCAAGCTATCATCTGACATTGCTGGTATAATTAATGAATCCATTCCACATCTGCCTTTTTCAAAACCCACTTCCCTCATCCTCAGCGGTGGTCGGATAACGAATGGCCCGTTTACTGATGGTAGGGGAGGAAGAAAAAAGTGGAGAATGAAAATTGGAGTTGAGGAGAGTCATTTTTTTTCTTTGCGCAAAAGCGATTGGACTGTGTGCAGAAGAATGTGAGCCGAGGCATGACGATACACGATTTTGCCAATTCGTGACCCACCGTAATGTTGTTTTTTCTTCCTCCCTCGCTTTGGCACACTGGCTTCATCGGTCGTCAAAAAAATCGATCTGTAATGTGTTTGTGTCCAACGAGAGAGACTCCACGCGCAGCATTCCCCCTGAGCATAAGTTATCCGAAACATCTTTTCGGTTGGACGTCTCAGGGCAGCAAGTTGTAAAGATATACCCCCATCCAGACTGCACCAGTGATGTGGGTTGAATGTCAGTCTCGTCTGGCGGCTTTTATCTTGAAAGAATTATTCTTACTCAAGACACGAGGCATTGCAAACCCTAGGTAAGAAGATAGGTTCACGGTACTTTTTTGTTCTTCAAATATATATATACCTGGAAGCGATATTCATGAATTCTTCGTGGAAGCGGAATATCCACTTGTACGAATAAAGGAGAGAATAGTCGGTGTCCCGGAAATAAGTCGATTCCCTCTTTTCTCCTGTTCCTTCGAGCAGTATTTGGTGTTCTTCTGGCGGATTGGCCCCGCAAGCACTACGTCGGGGAGGGGTTTTTGCTCCTGGGTTGAATTTACCTCCGGCAAAAGAGAGAGAGAGAGAGAGAGATGGTGGCGAGACCAACGAGAGAACGGGTTCAGCTTACACATACAGAGAGATCTACCGAAGAAAAATAAAATAAACGCGTGTGAGTGGGACACGGAGGGATGCACGGAAGCAGAGAATTGTGTGTTGTGTGATGTCGTATTACCACTGGATGGAGCGGGGTAGATCCTTTCTGCTCTGTGTGTTGGAATAAGAGAACAAGGTTTGGTATAACGTCGACGGTGTTTGCCTTGTATTAAATTTCGAGATTTATCGCGTCAATAACCGCCCATTAATTTATGACTTGGCGCGCACAACGCGTTGACTGTTGTCCGTTGTTTCCGCGGTGTCGAGAGGGGTAGGCGATGGCGAAAGTGAGGGAGATGTTTCATGCGGGTGTGTATGTACACCAGTTGAAAATGGCAAGGGGGCATGTGCATAGCTTGGGTAACACGAAGTATACGGGGATATTGTGCGGATGCAGAAGGCAGAGCACCCAGAGCTACCTGTATACTCCGGCTATGGTTGACTTGGAAGGTGGCTTCGGTTGTTTAAATACGTGTGTATGGACGAACAAACGGGACAACGGGAGTAGACGACGGCATATGCCAGTGGCGTGTTCACCCACCTAACTTGTATTGACCATTACTCAACATTATCCACCGCCTCTCGAGTCGCAGCCGTTGATGCATACAGGTAAAGCACCTATACGTCAACGCGTTATGCTTGACTCAGTGTATGTAGTACCTATTATATATAGTTCAGGTGGTTATGAGGATGAGAGTGAGAGGGTGACGGACGTTGGAGTGAGGGCATTGAGAAAATGGGAGCTTTCACGTCTTTGAAACGGCCCTGTTCAGGGATTTGATTGATCGCACTAATTATACCCGGCACCCAACTTGCCTTCACGGGAAAATACGTAAATACACGTGTGCATGTACTTATCAATTAAATATAATACATTCTCGATAACAAAGTTTTCAACTGCTGGGATTGATCTCATCTTAATGGTCACGAGAATATAATTAGCTGGATCTCGTGAATCATAATTTAACGAGAGGAGGGGTGGGTAACGAGTTGGTTGAGGGAGGTGGAAAAAAGGGTACAGCTAGACAAAGTGTACCTTCCCGCTGCTTTTTTTTCCCCGCCCTCGAATGTATCCCTGGCACAGAGAGGAGAGCAAACTCAGGGGACGGGGGAGTTTTCTCCTCCCCCTCTGCACTGTGGCAAAAAGATTCTTGTCAAGGAAGGAGAAAAGAAGTGGAGGAAGAAGCCCGGAGCCTTGTGTGGCAAGGAGAAGTCGAGAAGTGGAAATACTCGGGGGCGCACAGAGCTCGAGAATTGTAACTCTAACCTAGATGGTCGCCAGCTTCTTGCCCCCCTTGCCACTGGCTATCGATTACTTAGCTCGAGCCAGCAAGTCAGCCAAGTCAGCCCTCTACACTCTCTGAACGGGGGGGTTTATTCTATCCTCGTGCACCAAGTTGTCGTGTCAGTGGTGGGTTTTCACCATCGATCTGTCGTGCAAACCCCCGAATTTATACATAGAAATTAGAAACTTAATTGAAACATTCTTTGCTCTTGTTCTTCTACGTACTATCCTTGACATATCTCTCTGAATTCTCTGTCTCCCGTTTTGCTATATCAATACTCATGTGTATGTACACGAGTCGCTTGTCAGCTGTTTGCCGAAAGGGGCAGTGCCCTCTTAAAGCCGAAAGTACGACATATACACAACGCTTGAAAAATTTAATCCTGTTTATGTTGCAGTGACTGCAGAGTTGTGAGAGATCCACAGACCCTAAAGTCCAAGGGATATGGTTTCGTCTCGTTCGTGAAAAAAGCGGTGAGTTCAATATCCACGTATGATAAGGAAAAAGTAAATAACAAAAATCCGTATTGAATGATTTTTTTTTTCACCCCCCATCGATGTATATATACGACCTATCCCACGATGCGGCAACTGTACGCTGTACCTATATATAAAATATGAAGAAGCCAATATTGACGGAGGTATAAACGTGTGAAAGATGACAGGATGGATAAGGCGGGGGATGAAATGGGCGGTTGGGAAGAAAGGAAACCGAGGGAGTTGGTGAGACCTGAGGCAGAGAGAAACAGGTGTATGTGTGGGCCAGGAGGGTTTCATCCAATATCAATTTTCAACGTCCGCGAGTAGCGCCGTGTGAAGCAATAACCGTAAGATAATGTGACGCTCGCTCTTCTCGCGTCCCCTTGCCCCCGCGAAGAAAAAAATATGAAACTCCCTGCGCCTGTAGGGGTAATGTTGGACGCCCAACGCTCACACGGAGATGAGACTCGGGAATCCCTCGGGGGAATGGAGGAGTCTCGATGATCGAGCCAACGATCCATTCCATTCGGCTACCGTCGCCTCCCCAGCCCTCCCCCCAGTTATTTCTCCCTCATTTTTCTCTCTTTTGCCTCGAATAGGCACAGGGTATTCCACGCTGAGACGAACCGAATTTTTTTTCCGTTGCTTTTCACACCGGGTTATGTCGGCTTATCTCACGTGCTCCACTGTTTTTCGTTCTGCAATTTTACTTGTTATCCAATGCTGTAAATGTATATAGGGAGTTGAGGCTATGGCAGTTGTGTGTCGTCCGAACCGCACTCACTGGCCTGATGGTATGGGAGCCGAAAATCCACGACGTAAATCACTGCGAAGACAGATAGTAACGGGGCCAGGTGAGGAAGGAGGCTTTTCCCACGCTCGGACGTTATATGGGCAACGGTGGATACTCCGTTGAGGAGGCACTAGAAGAGGATGGCGGGGG